TTTCCAGCATCTTTTGCATATTTGAACCCTTTCCAGCAGTGACTGTATGATTTTGAGATCCATCTTTTCACACTGAGGACAATTGAGGGACTCAAACACAATTATTAAAAAAGGTTCAAACATTTACTGATGCTCCAGAAGGAAACACGATGCATTAAGAGCCGGGGGGTGAAAACTTTTGGAATTTGAAGATCAGGGTAAATTGTACTTAATTTGTCTTCCGGGAAACATGCAAGTATCTTCTGTAGCCTCTGAAGGGCAGTACTAAATGAAAAAAAAAAAAAGATATTTCAACAAATAAGAAAAATTTGGACATCTTCATCCTGTTCAAAAGTTTTCACCCCCCGTCTCTTAATGCATGGTTTTATCTTCTGGAGCATCAGTGAATGTTTGAACCTTTTTAATAGTTGTGTTTGAGTCCCTCAGTGTGGAAAGATGGATCTCAAAATCATACAGTCACTGCTGGAAAGGGTTCAAATATGCAGAAGATGCTGGAAAACTGAAGAATCTGCAGGAGCTGGAGGATTTTTCTGAAGAACAGTGCTCAGTTTAACTGTTCAGAACAAACAAGGGACTCATGAACAACCATCACAACGCAAAACAACAGTCGTGGATCATCAGGTAACCACACACAGTATGAAGAACCAAGGGTTCACAAACTTTTGAATGGGGCTATTTTAATAATTTCAGCTATTTTTTTTTTTATTGTGGACTAAATGTAAACATCTTTTATGTAAAATATCTTACTCAGGACAGTACTAAATAAAAAATAACATGCATTTTGTACGATCTCTCTTATTTTGTTAAAATTATTCACATTTTCACCGATTCTGCAAGGAGTTCCCAAACTTTCGCATGCCACTCAGGATCTGAACCTCATGCATAAAATGACACCACTAGACTATTAGTAACTTGCGCTCCACAGCTAACCGGAGCAGGTTATGTTCTGGTTTAGAGATCTCAAACCCAACTTTGGCACACCTCTGACACAATAAAGCCACTCCCCTGCTTCTCCAGCTCCAAATTAATTGGTAGCAACACAGTTTGTCAACTCAAAACTAATCCTGTAACCCTGAGTTTGTTCAGCCATCACTATGGTACAGGCCCCTGGTGTTCCCTCCAAACCAAACTACAGGGTTCACCCGACTAAACTCACCTGACTACAATATAAGCGAGGCCGAAGTCAGGCAGAGCCTGCCAGATCTGAAGGAACCTCTGAACGGCGTCTGTTAATGAGAGCTGAGCTACGTTCTGATAGGCCTCCAGGATCCTCGGCGTGAGCTGAACAATTACAGAGAAGAAGACCGAAAAGCAGTGACACACTTTAATTTGAGAGTCCACTTTAAACTAACTATAACTACATGTCAACTAACTCCCATTAGAGGATTAGTAGACTGTTAGGTTAGAGTTAGGGTTAGTAGAATCAATTGACAGCTCTTAGCAGATATTAAACAGATACTCTAATGACCAGCTGTTGACATGTAGTACTTATAGTCAGTAATGCAGTAATTAGCCAGTTCACAGATGTGCTACCTGCTTGGGTTTGTACTTCTTCTGGTAGCGTGGAGAGACGAGGCTGTGTGTATTGATGCTTTCATCCGTCTGAGCCGTGTTAGTGCTAGGTGTGGTTTTCTGCATGGCCAGGAACGACTGGATACTCTGCACCTCACTGGAGAAGGAGCTGTCCGCTAAAGTCTTGCCTTTGGAGGCCAAGCGGCACGCTGCCATCCACCGGCTGTACTGCTGTTCCTAGAACACGACCGAGACACAACACTGTACATACTTCTACAGGCATGCATCAGCCAATCA